CAACTAAGCACCACGCAGCCGCTCGCTCACTTCTCTCTCCCTCAGTGGGATGGAGGAGAGAATCGGGAAGGAGAAGAAAGGTTAGAGCTGTGGGCTGAGATAAAGACAGTTTAATAAGAGAAAATAATAATAATAGTAATAATGAGAATGGTAACAGAATATACCGAATATACAAAATGAACGATGCACAACACAACTGCTCACCACCCGCCGACCGATGCCCAGCCTGCGCCGAGCCACGATCAGTCCCCGAGCTGCGATCACTCTCCCCGCAACCCACCAACCGACCGACCAACAACCCCCCCCCAAGCATGACGTTATATGGTATGGAATAGCTCTTTGGTCAGTTTGGGTCAGCTGTCCTAGCTGTGCTCCCTCCCAGCTTGTTATGCACCTGGTCGAGCAGGAGAAGCTCAAAAAGTCCTTGAGTAGTCTGAGCACTGCTTGGCAACAACTAAAAACATCAGTGTGTTATCAACATTCTTCTAGTACTGAATCCAAAACACAGCACTATGCTAGCCTCTATGAAGAAAATTAACTCTATCCCAGCTGAAACCAGGACATGGGGTCAGCTGTGCTGCATACTCACCGCAGTCCTCTTAATAGCTGAGAAAACCTATGTTTCAGCAAAGATCTGCCTTTCGCTGCAGCCCCTTTCTCCCACTGCCAAGCCCGTGAGCGATTTATCCTGCCGACTACTCCAAGAAGTGATGAAACCAATAGGTCACTTTTTTTTTTGCTCAGCTGTAATTAATGGTTTAATTAACACTCACGACATCCAATTCCCATTGCTTTGCATGAGCAACCTCCACTGCTGGGGCCTCACTGCAAACTTTCTGGTAACTGGGGGTGGAAAGGGTTAGCAGGGGAGCCGGCAGGAGCTGCCGGCTGGAGGCCGCCCATCTGGCCGAGACTTCATCTGAAGCTGGAAACTTCTCCTCCTCCCAAGCAGCAGTGGGGTTTCCAACACGTTTCACAGCCTGCTTTGCTTTTGCACGGGCTTGTTTATGGTGCGGCGGCTTTTACGGCTGAGGAAAGAAACCAGGCGCCATGAGCGCGCGCACGCTATGCACAGCCCTCGTTATTTACTCTTAACAATTTTCCAGTATTTTAACACCAGTCCCCAAGAAATTTTAGCTGTCCCAAGGAGAATAGCTGCTTGTAACCGGTTGCTAATTACAAGTATGAATGTCAATTAATTCATTTAGCTAATTATCCACTCTCTGAGCATCACGCACCGAAGAACTGTAAAAGATGGGCATATGGTGATGGATCGGAAGGAAGAAGCTGGCACCTGCATGCGCTTGCTGGGCAGCCGGGGCCGGGCATGCGCTTGCCGGGTGTGCCGGCACGCCGGGGTGAGGGGATGCAGGCAGCGTGAGCGCTGGGGGAATACGGCCCCCGCAAGCCGCAATTACAGCATTATGCTGATTTGGGCTGAAAACATCAGCCCGCTCTTCACAACTTTTGTTTGGAGGCTTGAGCGTGGGTCAAGCACCTGAAGTGTTTCTAATTGTGCTGTTCCCTCCGATGCGGGGCGGGGGAAGAATCATTTTCCCTGCATCAAGCAAACCTCTGGATTGTAATCCCTCCTTGCAGAAACAAACAGTTCTAAGGAGGGAGGAGAGATCCCTGACGAGCTTCCTGGCGAGGGGCCTCCATGCTAAAGGTGGGGAGATCCGCCGGAGGATGCTCGTTGCAATCTGGCTCACAGGGCACCCGGGCTGCTGCAAGGGGGTAGAAAACCGTCTTGGTGAAAAATGATTTTATTTGCTCTCCCCAAAAAGGCAAAAGTTTTAAAGGAAATGTTCTTTTCTGAAATGATTTGAGTTAATTGCATCTGTGTGGGCGATGTTAACCTGTAAGGCAAGGAAGAGGTCATGGGGGGAGAGCAGAGCAGATGCCCCCTCCCCACTCCCAGAAAGCCAATGAAGAATTGCGGATTTTTCACTAACAGCTGAGCATCGAATGCTCAGTGGGGATAAAGTCCTCAGTCAAAGCAGCCACCGGCTCCATCCCTGCCCAGCCCAGCCTCCACGGAAGTACTGAGCTGTTCTGCCTCACCTGCACCCTGGACTCACGGGTCTAGAATTTTGATGAGCATTTCCCATGTCCAGCCTAAAATTTGGGTCACTGAGGCCCCAGTGGCTGCAGGGGCAGCACCCGCTGCATCAGATACTGGTGCCTGGTGCCTGCCACAAGTGTTTGCTCTGTTCGTTGTTCTTACTTACCAAAAAGTGAGGCCTTATTTCCTGTTGAATTTGTTTAATTATTTCACTGCTGGATTTCCAACGGCAACGCTTGTGCTGCCTGTGCCTGCGAGGGGCTTTGATCAAACTCTTGTACGTCGATTACCAAGAGTCACTTCTAAAAGTGTGTAAATAAAAAACAAATAGAATAACATCTCCCCCCAAAACCTAATAGGCTGTATTGTTAATGCGGTGACATGGCAGTTTGCATTTTATTTCCTTGTTATAAAAAAAAATAAAAATTATAAGCCCTGTTAGAGGTATTTCAAAGGCAGCAGAGCCAGGGAGTGCCTGCAGGGATTGGAGTCCCTCCGGAGAATTTTGCAGAGACTTTTCCAGCCAGTCAGCTTGGCATTGGTGCCTCCAGCTCTGGGGAAAAACACAAGTATTTTCAGGCAGGTTTAACTGAGGGGTTAAGAGCCTGGCGCTGATGCGGTGCTGTCGGTGGGGAGTGGGCTGGGGGTGCAGCCCAGCACCCCTGTGCCCCCGTGCTGATGCGGTGCTGTCAGTCCCGAGCGGGCTGGGGGTGCAGCCAGGCACCCCTGTGCCCCTTCCTAGGGTGATGGAGGGAGAAGAGGGGGTGATGCACAGAGGTGGGGAGGGGACCCAGGGCTCCATCGCAGGGGCTGCTCGCTGGGCAGAGGGAAGGGAACCGGCAGCACCCAGCTCCGCAGAGCTGCTGGCAGCGTGCCGGTGCCTCCCGCCGTGCTCCCTGGCTCTGCCACCGGCCTGGCGCACTCGCTCCTGCAGTGGAGCGTCAGCCAACGCGCAAACCTCCGGAGCGCCGGCCATTTTCCAGACAAGAGCAGATCTGCAAAGCGCTACCTTAAGAAAAGTTATGCGTGGCTATATTTAAGGAAGCAGGGGGTGTGCGCTGGCCCCGTCCCAGGGCCCTGCGCCAGCCCTGGCCTCGACGCCCCGGCCCGGTGCCGGCCG